CTAACAGCTTGGTTTTAATCTGATTACTCATCTTTTTTTCTTTTTGGTAAAACAAGTTTCATTGAACAAAAGAATTGATTACTCTTTTAGACTGAGAAACATAGGGATAGAAGGAGGCAGGGATTAATCTATCAATGTAAATGAAATTTTAGTTGTCTTTAGTTTTTCATTTTTTAAGAAAATCTTTATTTCCAGTTAGAGATGCTATGAAGATTGGCAATACTATCAAATGTAAAGTGTATCATAGCTAAGTACACGTTAGGCTGGCCAACAAATGATATCAGCATGTGGCACTTGCTCGGGTAAAAGGTGAATCCATCCCTGAATCCCACATGATTATCTGACATATTGAACCCAAACATTTTCAATGCCATAATTATTTTGACATTTCTAGTCAGCTAACAAAAAGATGACTTTTAAACAAACTAGGCATTCATTAAACCTTAATTTAAATGTACTTTGTCACTCTATTGCAGTTAGGTTAATATAGCATACTTAAAATTATATTAGTAACAGAAAATTAAGTTTTAATTTTTATCTTTCATTTCAAGAAAACTCAAGCATGTCATACTCAAGCATGATTGAATAACATTGAAACTGTCAACCACTTTTCTTATTAAACTCTCTCTTCCTGCTCTAGTACACGAGAACAATGAATGGCCCAGAAAGATATCAGCCCCAGCCAATAAGAATTCATGGTGGAATGAGCCCAAATTGTGAAATGGGTCTTTCTGCATCCCACAAAGAGAATAATAGTGAGATCAGTTACTGTGACTAATGAAAATAAAGTATGTTTGGTATAATTACAAAGAAAGCTCCTTTTTTTTTTTTCTCTTCAGGATCTAATACTTGAATATGTTAGGAAATATGTTAGGAATGCAGAAGATCAGGGCATACAGCTTGGAGGGCTCTTAGGACCAAAAGATGCCTCAGTATCTTACTTTGACCTTCTGGTTTCTAAATTGTCATGTTGAGGATCCTGCACGGGCTTGACTTGGTTAGGGTGTCTGAGAGAACCAGCACAAGGTCTGCAACCCAGGGGCCCATGAAGCAAACAGAGCAGCGAGGTGCAGAGACAATGGTGGGGGAGAGAAACTGGAATGATGAGGTGTCTGCAGGAAGGAAGCTGGGAAAATGCAGGCAGAGGCCCAGGAGCTTTACATTAGTCTGTCCTAGTGGAGGTTCCCTCAGAAGCTCCTGGACAGTGTTAGCTGTGGATGCAGATGGAGACCAGATCTCCTGACAATCCAGCCTCCTCATCATAACCATAGCATCCCTGCTCTACCTTTGTAGAAATCTTATGAGCCATATCAGCCCATTCTTGTCCATTTTATCATACAACATGGAAGGGAAAAGAAGTTCAGAATAATTGTTGCAAAAAATCAAATAGAGGGCCATTGTGCTCAAAGATAAATGCTCTGATGTTTCATAAACAATATTTTACCTATTTTTTTTTACCATCTGAAGAAGAATTTGCTCTACATTTTCTATGAAAAGGAGGCCTGTTTTCAAAATGAAAGAAATAGTGAGATTAATGAGAAAATACAAAATAAAAATGAGGTAGCCAGGTGATATACTTCAGAAAATCACCATGATTTGGGTATATAAAATCTACTCGATATGGCCTATGGTTCAGAGTGTTTTTACAAAAATTACTTGTTAGAAAAATGGCATTATTTTTTCTAT